ATGATGATAATTATGAACATGAACACTGTGGGATAAAGCTGTGGGCCCATTTAGATGCTTCTGTAAGAAACATTTCCCAAAGTGTGTTCTGTGGAGGTAATTGATCTTGTTAGTAAAGAAGGCTGTATGATTAAATATGTTGGGACATATAAGTTTGTAAGATTTCTCAGGTTCTGAAATGCTTAATACATTGTGAAATCCTGAAACAAAGGACAGAATCTGAGGTGGCTCCGAAACTTCGACTAAGGAATTCCTTTCCAAAAAGGTATCATAAGGGATGCCATTGGGAAACACTATAGTCTATACTGAATGACTACTGTACTCTTTGAATTTTGTTTCTATCTTTTAAAGGAAGTTTCTCTCTCTTCTTGGACAATGAAACTGTCAGCTCTGACTCCTTGCTTCTGGCAATGTGCCTGGATCTGAGGCTTTCCTCTTGGTGGTCTGGAAAGTTAGGTAAAAGATTCCAAGTATGAAATAAAATCTTACTTAAGAGTAAAAGGCATGAAATTTAGTGCGTGGACTTTGTGACATTAATTATGGCTTCTCAGAAGCACTTTGCTTTGTGGTTGTTGAACAAATAAGCTTTAGCTAAGTAAGATAATACTGTTAGCAGCTAACCACACCTCCTGGTCATTCAAAGAAGCATAAAACTTCCATTCAGACAAGGAAGGCTTGATCTGGTGGTCAAATACAGATACAGTGCTATCTATCTGTATAAAGTGATTCAGGCATCTGCAGATATTTCATATAGACTTTGGGGAAATCTAAACTTTCTTCCCACATTCTGAGCCTTGAAAGCTGTATCTTAGTACCTCCCCCCCCCCACCTTCATCCCCATGCCAAGCCCCCTGCAGGTTTCAGTTCTCCAACTCAGGGCAAAACCTTAAAATCCTAGGGTTTTCTTTTTTTATGCCTGTGATTTCCCTCTCCAGTATTCTCTCTTTGAACTCCACGCTCACTCATTCTGACAGGAGTTTCTGCCCTCTGCTCCTGAGCACTGCTGTCAGGCTAGCCCACAGCTAGTCCTCCTACTACTCACCTTTCTTTCTCCTCTCTGGTAAGCCTGGAGTACCTCCTGCTCCATCAAGACTAAGCTCTCTTGATAAGGTACTCTGAGCCAAACAACCTACCAAAAGCTGGCTAAAATTTCATAGACTTATTCATTCAGAGTGGGTTCTTGATTTGTCTATATGAGTTGAAGAACCAAGGTTTTTTAAGACTAGAAAAAAAGGGGAAATATCTGATTTGTTTGAATTATCATATCTTTTGATTATTCAATTTGGTATCTTAGAGATATGGTCATCGACCAGGAATATATTTTGGAAAACACTTAAAATTATGGTACAGTAGAAGAGACCATGAAATAATCTTCAATTAGGTTTCATATTAGTATACCTTATATGAGAAAACTCTGTTTTGATAACTGGTAAAACCTGGATGTCATTAACAAGTATCTATAAATCATTTATTTTCTCTTCTCCTGCCAAAGTTAGGCTCCTGTCTGGGGAATGGGGTGGGCAGGTAAATGAAGAGGATAGGGTTTGACTACAGTGATATTATGGAATATTATGCTTATAAATATAATACATAATATAATGTGTAGCATACTTATACATATGAGAGTTAGGCTATAACTGTGAACCATGTTAACTATCAAGTACGATATATTCTTTTTTTCCAGTCTATTCATCTTTTCAACAGAGTAACTATAATTAATAGATTTTCTATATTTTAATATATTTTGAATTTAAAATGTATAATAAATTAGATTGAATTTTTTAACGGGAAAGAACATTAGAAAAAAGAAACTATGATGTTAAACCAACGAAATTACCACTTCAAAAACAGTCAAATATTGGCAAATTCACATGGTTCAATCTAATAACATTTTTTTATGATGCACATGCTTACACTTGTTCTCTCTCTCTCCTGTTAGATTTGATTTTATGGAGGAGGGTGAGGCTGGGAGGGATCAGTTCTCCCAGCCTGGCGGTTGGCTCCTTTTCCACAGGGTCTTTAAAGCAACATGATTCACTAAACACAGTAGGTCATTTGAATATGTTCATTAATTATAGTGTATTTATTCTGGGAAAATGAACAGTAAAATGACAGAAACATCATGTGAATATGTTTTAACTAAGATTATCTCTTAATGCACACCTTTTTATGTAATTCCAGTAACATGTTCATGATTCCATAACAGAGTAAGAAGAAAGTAGTGGGTAAAAAGAGTTACAGACAAAGAAAGAGAAAGCTCTTCTATAATAAATTTGGGGCTTGGGGGAGATTTGGGAAATGTGTATCTTTTTTGCTATTTAGTGTCTCTTTTACTATTTGCTGTTAACTGCCATCACTTAGGGGGCTCATATGTTGTTTTTGTTGTTGTTGTTTATTTCTTTGTTCCTTTTACCTTGATTTTCTAGGCTGTTACATTGTCATCAAGGCTTGTAAACAAATTTGCTCCGGTGAGGACATATTTTAAGGATCTTCTAAATGAGAGATAACTCATTTTTTCCAGTGTTCTTTAAATGAAGAGCCGATAGTGTTATAGACAAAAATATAATTTGCCCTCTTAGCATCTGATGCTGGCAATGATTTTAGTTTAGAATTAGCCGTTCTTATCTCTTTCAGAAAGTGTAATTGGCCACTTGTGCTTTTTAACTCATATGAGTGAAACTGTAAATATAGCAATTTATTTGATTACAGTCTATGTGCATTTTTCTTTTGCTGAAAATGGACTTTGATTTTATTGTACTAAATACAAATGAGTTCTAGAGCAAAAATAAAACGTTACATCTTTCATAGTCATTTGTGGAGCGAAGAGCCTACCTAGGTTGCAGCTCTTCTGCAGACTCGTGGCTTTTAACAGGTTGGGTTTATAATTCCTTCCTATTTCTTGCATTAGGAATTGATTCCTCGGTGCACTTTGCTGTTGTTGTATACCTCTGAGGGACTAGAAATACTCAACCCTCATGTCCTCACATATAATCCTTCTAGAACCGCAGTCGGAAAAGAGTATTCTAGCCCTGTAACTAGACACTAACTGAATTCTCATTTCCCTTCTGCAGGATATCTATATTCATCCATACTGATTATCTATCTATCATCTATCTATCTATCATCATCTATCTACCATCTATTACCTGTCTATAGCTATATGAATACATAACATTTTAACATATAACATAAACATATATTACACACACACACACACACACACACACACACACACACACTCTCTCTCTCTCTCTCTCTCTCTCTCTCTCTTCTGAATCCAGAGAGAAAAGTCTTTCTTTTGCTACCCCTGTCATGGATGAAGGCCACTCCCAACCTTGTCTCAAGCTATGGAAGGCTTCTCTAACCGGCACAGCATTCAAATAGATCAGAGATCTGAGATTAACTGGCTGCATTGTTTTTCAGACTCAGAGATTCAAAATAATTTCTTTGAAATTGAGTAGAGGAAAAAATTAGGCATTTCCTTTGCTAAACAGCAGCATTTACCAAGTGTTAGGGAATTACACTGTGAGTTTATTCTTGACTGTTTTTCATGGAAATTTATAAAATTATTGAACAGTTGAATTTTTAAGCTGAGGGGACCTCAGATATAATATAAACCACAGTTCATTTTACACATAATAATTGTGAGTCCCATAGACATGATATAAAATGCTTAAGATCAAAGGGCTAGTTAGGAGATAAAAAACACATAGAACTTCCATAACAAAATGGTAAAAATAAATTTAGATTATTTTATGGGTCTTTTTTATCTCAAGATTTTAACTCTAAAGATCAACTGCTGGCTTGGTCTTCTGCTTTCATGGAATGGACTCCAATCTGTTGGATGCTATTTCTACTGTGACATTGCCACAGGTTTGAGCAACCCATAGTGTTCAGAGAATTGTCATTTTTGAAAACTTGAGTTTTCATGAGCTTGCTAGTTTAAAATATTTCTGAGAATAAAATATTAAGGCTATATATACATATAATATATATAAATATATGTATATACGGTTATAGAGGGTTTCTACTTCTCTAGAACTTTTTGAAAGTGTTCAGTAAATAAAAGATAGACAATCTCCTCAGAGCTGAGTTGTGTGGGGTTCTTGCATTGTTGTAACTGTTTGCAGAGCTAGTCTAACTAGAAGGTTCCTTTCCCACATGTCCTCTCTTCTCAGTGTCCTTATATCTTCAATATATTATGTGGAACCATTTCATAATTGCTCCAAATGGTTAAATATCTGTAATGTCAGATAGTTCCAGCTAGCTATATAATGGGGAATTTCAGGGTCATAAGTCAAAATACTGAATCTTAAACAAATCGTTGATACTTAAGGGCCTTTCTCTGAGATGTAGGAAATGATTAAGCAAAAGTGGATTCAGAGAGAACAAAGAGAGCAAAATGGTTATACCAAGCATTTACTTAACTGTGTACTGGAATGACCCTTTTCTGTTACACAGAGCTTTAAGTTAGGGAAAAGGCCTTTCCATCAGAAAGTACATTTTAATAAGTCACCTTATATATAGTTAAACTTTTGTTCAAGTATCTGAGATGGGGGAGTAGGGAGATATAACCATGCATTTCACAGTAGTCAAAAAGTATAGCTTACTGTTGAGAAATTAAATAGGGACCAGTCCCTTCTTCCTCATCTAAAGTCACACAGATATCCTATTTCAGTACTCCATTACTCTTACTTATTATACCTGATAGCTATGCATAGATTCTTGTATGTTTCAATTCTTCTTATATTACCAATTACCATTATTCATATAAACAAAAATATGCAGAACATCTACCATGTGCCAAATACTGGAATATCTAGGATTATATCAGATTGAATTTGTTTCTGACTTGCCTTTTAACCCCGCCCCCAAAATAAAGGCAAATAAGAAATGTGAAAAAGGCTTATTGCCAATCATTTAATTCAAGTCACTCAATAGCATGGTTACATATCTGTTTTAGCGTGGCATTTGAAAGCACTGTTTTTTATCTCTCTTACCTGAAGGATCTTATCACCAGGCTGCAGCAGGTTGGATGCTGGTCCATCAGGCTGAACCCTAGTAACAAAGATACCCTATAAGTCAGAAGTAACAGAGGTTAGGATTGTATTATCAAGAACTAGGCCTAGTTAAAAAATTTTCATTCACATAGAAAACAATGAAAACAGATTAAAAACAGTTTACACATGTAAGTGTCAAAGATTATTATAGTATTTTTTAAGCAAAGCACCACTCTTCAAGTCAAGTTTAAGAAAAGCAACATCTTTACTTGCATAACAAAAGCTGATCTTGTTTTTAAAGTGCACTTATGATTTGTAAATTAATTTCATGGCATAGTCTTAATTTTTTTCTTAAATAATTTGAAATATGGTACTAAACCATCTTTTAATAATTCAGAAATCATCCTAAGTTATTCTTCACTGAAAATGTCTTCTATTTGACAGGTTGTAAATTCAGTGTACACTTTTAAAACCTTATCAGAATAACATATAGATACTGGTTTATTTCAATCAGTATTACTTTGTATATTACTGGAAATTTTAATATAAAAATGAATATGAAAAAATTAAACATAAGAAAATCCCAATATGCATTTTAAACATAAAGTTTCTGCCAACGTAGTTACAAATCCTGAAACTGATTTATTTTATAAAAAAGTCAAATTAATTTTGTTGATCATGTATATAAAGCAAGCATTTATTGAATGTCTACCATATGCTAGGACTCGATTACTAGTGTTATAGAGATATAGAGAATATAATTTTTGGCTTCAGTGAGCTCATAATATAGTAGAAGAAAAGTCAAGAAACCAACAATTCAAAAAATTAAAAATATAAATAATTTACATAACAATATGTATTAAATAATAAAGATGATATCTCAATAGAGTTGACATTATATTTTTTAGTTCCTAAGAAGTATTAATCGAACAGAAGATAATATTGGAATGTCATTGCCTGTTATTTAGGAAATCATCTTATTTGTTGATTTGTAAATTTAACGCCTCTCACTTAAACCCATTAACCTTATGTATGTGTGTGTGAATGGTTTAACAAGAAGGTCCTAGTTGAAATACTTCTATGTGTGTTTTCATTTAGCATTTCAGATCTTTATGAAAGTTATTAATTTAAGGCTGTTGAATGATTTTTATCTTTATGATTTTAATCTGTTTTTCTTCCCATTTAAAGACGAAACTATGGACAGCCATCAAAATCCTTAGATAACTGCATAACTTTTAACCCGTAATGCAACTTCTAGAACTTATCTTAAGGGCATAACTAGACAAGTTGCAACATTCATTTACTAATACGTTCATCATAGTATTATTTGTAATAATAAAAGTTAAAAACCATACCTAAAAGTCTAATAACAGAGAATTGATGAACTAAATTACAGTAAATTCACACAATAGTATGATATGTGATCATTAAAGTCCTAGACGGGAGTTACAGGAATATCCTAGTTCTTAGTGAAACAAGCAGGTTATAAAACATTATACTCTATGATGCTATTATTATGCTATGATACTATTTTTGCTGAAACATGTTTATATGCATATTTGTGTGGGAAAATATCTGGAAGGATATATTCCTAAACATTAATAGTGGTTATACTGGGGAATGAGACTTCATATGTACATATACACACATATACGTGTGTGTATATATATATATATATATTTCCTTTTTGCTTTATGTCTTTTCTAGTTTTTCTATAATAATTATGTACCACTTATCACATCAAGAAAATAATAATAAAAACTTTAAGATTTTATTTATTTATTTATTTGAGAGAGAATGAGAGAGAGAGAGCACGAGAGGGAAGAGGGTCAGAGGGAGAAGCAGACTCCCTGCCGAGCAGGGAGCCCAATGTGGGACTCGATCCCGGGACTCCAGGATCATGACCTGAGCTGAAGGCAGTCGCTTAACCTACTGAACCACCCAGGAGCCCAATAATAAAAACTTTAAAAAAATTTTTGGTTAATAGTGTCACTATTCAGAGTGATGCTCAGCTAGTTACTTTTGTCTATTTGGTTGTACAAATGGCCAATTCAAAAGGAATAAGAAAATGGGTTGGTTGAAAAGGACCGTAACAGAAGGCATGATGGTGAATCCACCAGACCAGGGAATGGCACTGGTTGTGAAAACAAGTATAATCCCCACAGCCCTTTACACACTGGGCACATAACACTCGTGCCATCAGTCCAGGAAACTGTATGTGCTTGGTCCTTCTGGTAGTCCCCCTCTTTGCTATCCGGGTCTCTGTACAACAGGCAGAGTGCCCTTGCCCAAAATAAGCCACTACACCTCTGTGTGCTGGAGGTGAAGTTGTTCTTTTTATTCTAGCAGTCAACGTCTGGGCTACCTAGTTAATTTTGATTGCCTTTCTTCAGCTTATTCTATGGGAACCATTTTAATAATGTTTGCATGAATCCAGACCACAGGAGCTAAATTACCGCCATCGTATCTGCAATGCTGGAAGGAACTGGTAATGCTCCACAACCTGAATGCTGAAAGAATACAAGTGTAATGTACGTGGCAGGTTTAATTTCATCCATCACAAAGCTCTGTGGGATTCAACCGCTGTTCTGAAGACTTGCTGTGTTGCTGTTGTTGTTGTTGTTTTTGTTGTTTTTAAAGTTTTATTTATTCTAGAGAGAGCGGGAGCAAGCCTGGGGAGTGGGGGGAGGGAGAGAGAGAGAGAGAGAGAGAATCTCAAGCAGACTCCCTGCTGAGCACAGAGCCTGACACGGGGCTGGATCTCACGACCCTGAGATCATGACAAGAGTTGGCTGCTTAACCGACTGAGCCACCCAGGTGCCCCCTGAAGATCTGCTTTGAAGTTTACTCTTATGGTGGCCTGAGTCTTCCAAAGCATTTATTGCTGCTTTCTAAAGCTTTAATATTTCTTTTCAATCAATACATTTCCTCAACTAAGAAACTGCTACTGCCCACTGGTATAGTTTTTTTTTTCTATACATATACAGATATATCTTATCAGGCAGCATACTGACACATTAGTCGAAGCAGATAGAAATGAGTGTTATGTTTGATAAGGGTCTGTGGCATTCATGATTTATGGAGGTGGAATGTTTCCCAAAAGACTGCCTGTAAAGGCCAGTGCTCTGATTTTTCACTGTACTTATGTATATACATACAGCCATATGAGAAAAATAACCCTGAACCCATTTTGTGGTATCTGTTATGATGAATATTGATGACTTTGGTACAGTTCTGGAAAAGCTCATGTAGTAATGTGTCAGTCTCCCTCTCAACAAATTCATTTTATTCTGAAATTTCAAAGAATACTTTGGCCCTGATGACAGAATTTGGTGAGGAATCAGACTATTTGTTTTCTGAACATTAGAACAGGAACTTCCCACTGGTTGGTAAAAAGCCATCATGTATGTATCAAAGATCCATATCATGACATCTGGTCAATTTTATAAGTCTGTGGAACGCTGTTCATTTTCTTGTAACATTTGGTTGAGTGTTAAATGTGGGACAAACTACCATGTAATACATTCAAAACAAACAAAACAACCTATACCCCTAAGGTTATAGCAAAACCATTTTGCCCAAGGAAGGAAAATGCCTCAGTAACTCTTTTTCAACAAGGCAGTATATATTAGTATTTTGTGGCTGCTGTCAAGTTATCATGAATTTAGCGGCTTAAAACATCACAAATTTATTATCTTATGGTTCTGTAGAAGTCCAAAACTGGTCTTACTGGGCTAAAACAAAGGTGTTGGCAGGGCTGCATTATTTTCTGGAATCTCTAGGGGAGAATCCACTTCCTTGCTTTTTCCAACTTCTAGTAAATGTCCACATTCCTTGGTACATAGTCCCCCTTTTCCATCTTCACAGCGAGCAATTGTATTTATCTCTGACCATTTTTCTATATTCACATCTCCTTCTGATCATAGTCAAGAAAGATTCTCTATTTCTAAGGACCTATGTGATTAGATTGGAAGCCCACCTGGATCCAGGATAATCTCCTCATCTCAAGGTCCATAATTTTAACTCACCTGCAAAGTCCTTTTTGTCATGTAATATAACATATTCACAGGTTCTAGGCATTAGGATGTGGCTATCTTTGGGCGGTGGGGGGGTGGGGAGGCATTTTTTTCTGCCTTCTCTATAGTGTAAGAAGTAGGAGCATAGCTCTGGAGTTAGCCTGTGTTCACCATTCAAAAATTGGGCAAGTTAATTAACTTTGGTGTACTTAAATTTCCCTCATCAGTAAGATGGATATAGTAATGGCAATACCTCATAGTTATTAGATTGAGTATATATATACAGAAATACTTAGAACAGTGGATGGCATTCAGTGTAGTGTCAATAAATGTTACCATAATTATTGAAAATCTGAAGGTTGAGCTACAATCCAAGGTCTTTATATCCAGTAAGACCCATACTGAGAGTTTCTGAGTCTCTAATTGTTCCCTATGTATTGTCCAGAAATTCTTCTTTACCCTCAATCTGGAGTATATTGAAAGGCCAACATTTGTTATCTTTCCCTTGAATGCCCAGCAGATAAGAGGATTTGCATCTCCTATTCAGGGAAGAGGATGGGAAGAAGGCTGGGAAGTCTCTACTACCTCATCTGTGGTTTTCCAGTGGTGGTTCTCAGTGGTAATGGTTCCAATTGTTGTTCGCTCTCAGTAGTGGACATGGGTCCCAACTAGAGGGCTATCTGATGGTTCTTAGTAACTTTCAGGGGCTACTTCCTTTGGTATCTCCAAGTCAGGAGCATTAGCTCTTTACAATAATAGCTGCTAAAATCTAGTTACTGACTTATGTGTACTAACACACTGTCTGAGTGTGTTTTTCTAATGTCTGACATTTCATGACCAGCACAATGGTTTTCCCCTAGCACCACCTCTAGATAGCATCTCACAACAGAGCAATAAAATACATACTGCAGGCTTTTCCAAAGAATATATGTTTGCTTTCCTCAGACACCGATATCTGGGTGTGCTTGAGTCAGACACAAACCCCCTGGACTCATGCATCACAGAGGGACCCACACACGTTTGCACCAAAGCTAATCTAGAGAGGGCTGGCCAGGTGCT